CCCTCTCTCTCTCTTTCTATTTTTCTTTACTTCTCTCTCCATCTTACTCTCCCAGGCACGCCCCACCTCCTTCACCCCTCTATTTTTCACATTATCTCCCCCCCTCCCCCATACCGTAGTCCACTGCCCAGTCCTAGTCCTAGTATTATCATTTGTAAAGAGAAAGGCCGAGAAAACCGCAGTTGGCGCTGGGTGACCATAGTTGGCGCCATTTTGTATGTTCCACTGGGCGTGCTGCGGGCTGTGCCGCGAAGAGAGAGAGAGGAGGGTCCCATTTGTTATAAGGTCCTTGGTCAGAACACAGTCAGGAGACAGTCGCGGGCGCTGTGAGCGGCGCTGCAGGATGTACATGTACATGTATCCAGGAAGACTTTCAGACTTCTAATTGTCTAAGTGTAAGATGAAGTATTTCTCTACAGGCCTATTTTCCTCCTTCCAGCCTAGTATCATTTTTGGGGAAGCAAGCATCTGCCCTTAATTAAAATGGCACGTATACAGCCTATCTGTTCTCAGAAAGGGTATAGTCTACCCCGGGCGGCTCCCCTTTCCTCACTTACAAAGACACCCACCCAGTTCTCTCCCATTTCCCCATGAAAAAAGTCCAAAAAGACAAAAACGCAACAAATCCAACAACAACAAAAAAAGTGGTAATCTCATCCTAAGACAGACAAGAAGAATAATAGGGCCTGTAGTACTAGTGTAGTGGCCTAAGCGTCCAAGAAGGGCATATGTATATAATCGCAATCATGCATAGTTCAAACAACAACAAACCAAACCAAACCAAACCAAACCAAAACAAGAACAATAATAAACAACACCTAATCACATACGGACAATACCTTAATTAAAAAATGTACCTTTAGTTTAGTCAAGGAGTTTAGAACTACTTTTAATCTCCTTGAGTTTAGTAGATACTGGCAACACTCGTCAACAAATAATCTACTGCACTCAAGGGGGTTATAATGTAAGTATAGGTCCTTGACCGTACCGGTACTTTACTTTTCACTTTCTCCTGCCCTTTTCACTTTGCAATGAGGGGAGCAGCAAAGATATTTCTCATGTTTTTTTTTCTTCTATCGACTGTTCCATGGTTTACCCGTGGGTTGTTTTTGAATGAGGTTTCTATGACCCATCTTTTAATGGGAATGCCCCTGCTTCCGCCTGATTTTTCTAATTTATACCCTCTCTACTAAAGTCTAGGGGTAGTTTTGTTAGCCTACGTACCCAAACCATTTAATATATTGAGGCAACATAATTGTACTGTGATAATCAAGTCTCGTTTCTTACCTCACAGGTACTACTCTCAATCAACAGTATTGAAAAAAACAACCACAAACAAAAAAACAGGTGAGGAGTGAGGGCAAAAGTGTCATAAGTGATTCAGATTCGTGACGTATTAAATTATTTCTGTTACATTAATTTACATGTAATTTGATGTGAATCGATTTTTCTCTCAGCACCCTGGTTACGGACGATATAATAATGATGGTGAAGACAACGAATGAAACAATAGTGCGATATCACTTTTCTACGTCATTTTCAGGGGAAACAACCATCTCATTAGTAAAAGCAAAAGCACTGATGATTGGTCAGAAATGACGATATTGTCCAACCAAAGAGCAGATAACTGTGGTGAGTCACCTCGGCAAAATGGTGGCTGACGTCTCTTAGGTGGAATAAGGCTTTAGGGGTCATTGGTTCCATTGTTGTTTTCGTGTCGATGATGTAAGTAACATACGCTATACTGGCAGACTTATTCAATTCGTGTAACTAAAAACTCCCGTCTCTTAATTTCTAGTGTACGTGAAGGACGTATTATTGATCTGCACGCTAAATTTATCATGGTGGCCCATTAGTTAGATTTCTCTGTTTTGTTTACCTAAAAAGTAAATTACTGTTTTTGTTTTTGTTGTTATTTTAGGCTCTAGTGATGATGTGGGGTGGTCCTAAGGCCTAAGGCCTAACCTAATTGTCACTGTGTTCTTCTGTTGCTCATATCTTGAAACAATTATGAAGTAGCCTTGTAAAAATAAAGAGAATCAATGATTTTTCGGAAGGACTTCCGTAACGAGCGACCACCCCCATCAAACACAATAAAGAAGAGGCCGAACCCTAACCCAAACCCTACCCCTACCCCTACCCCTACCCCTACCCTACTCCCTACCGTACCCCTAGATCTACCCCCTACCCCTAGCCCTCAATTCTGCTTTGTCTCATAGTGGTCGCTCGTTACAGAAGTCCTCCTGATTTTTCATCTGCTTTTTATGGAAGAAAATTGAGTTGGGTTTACACAAAAAATGCGGGCACTTCATCAAGGTCTTGGAAATTGCCTTCCCGTTTATAATATATTTACATAAAAAAGTATGGTAAAGTAATTTAATAAAGAAACAGAAGTGATTGCCAAGGACCAAGGACAAAAGTGGCACAACCGGATAATTAGAGATCGCCATATGTACGTCATTGGCCAATATTTATAGTAACAGCCATCTTGTTTGACTTTGACGTCATTGAGGGATTCCTACTTTGTTGTCGGTCATGGTGGCAACACGACTGCACGACATACGTAGGCCTTGTCTTAGGCCTAGTTTTCTTCTTCTCAGAATCAATCTGGGCGG